AGCAGTACGTCGGCTTTCCCGCCCTCTTTCTACCTTGGATGATTCTCCCTACCGTGAACACGTGGTCTACGCACCCCCTCTTCTTGCGGAAACCTGCCTGGCCCTCACTAATGCTATGTTCCTTCTCCAATACTCCCACTATCCTATCGTTCAGCAGCATACAGAACAGTTTTCCTCCTATGTTCAACAGTGTGATCCCCCTGTAGTTTCCTGGGTCAGTCTTGTCTCCTTTCTTAAACAAGTTCACAACCACTCCTTCCCTCCATCTACTTGGGGGGGGGGCACCTTTCAAAAAAAATAAATCAAATAAAAATTGACAACAGAAATTCCTCCAAGGCAAGATTTGTTATCCAACCAGAAGATCAACAGTAAGGAAAACCATAGTCAATCGGGATAAAGAGACGATCGACGACCCCGGTCAAAGGGATGGAAAAACGAAAGCCAAAGAAAGAAAGAAAGAAAATAGATAAAACGAAGAAAAACAGCGAGGGAAATATACAACATAAGAGATAACGGCAGATAAACAGGTCCCCTCGAACGTTTCAGTTTATCTACCCGAACAACACGAAGTATAGGCCACCACTAACGCGACACCAGACAGATACATACATACCGACTTCCGACGCCACGACATCACTTCGGGGCATTGCGAGGGGGGGGGGGTAGCGACACGACGGAAAAAGATATTGGGATATATTCAGCTGGTATTCCTGCTCTTGTCTCCATCCTCATCATCCCGGGAAACATTTCTCTATCCGTTCAGCCATCTCCGTCCTGCTCTCTTCGGCTTCGGTCGTGTCTTCCGTCGTTCGACGTCCCCCCCCCCGTGTTCCGTTCCCCCCTCTGCTCTGCTGGCCTTTTTGTCTTTTGTTCGGTATTTTTCTTGTTCCGGTCCTCCGCGCGTAATACAAGGCTTACAACACACGAAAAGACAAAATGATGAACCAATGATCCGGCGACACGGGCCATCCATTGCTCCGGAACCAAGCGGGTGCGGACATAGCCCGATACGGAAGGCATTCGACGATACGTTCCCTAAACCACCATTTCTAGAGTTGGCACAATCAATATTGGTTGTAGAGTCATCGAGGTTTGAAAAATCGGGCTACTCTGTAGGGTGGGTGCCATCTCTCCCTCCGTCCCTTGCGGGAGCTCACCTGTTCCTTGAGCCTGCTGGCCTCCTCGTGGGTGATTCGGCCGAGCGCAACGTCCCCATCCAGCATGCCGTTCATCACCTCCCTGCCGTATTCGTAGCTCAGCTCGGGGTGGGCCTGCGGCAGCAAGAACAGCAGTGGCGGCGGCGCCCGGAGAGGGAGGGAGCGCTGATTAAGATGAATGTATCGCGGCCGTTATCGGGAATTTGTCAAGCAAGGACGGGCTGGTCGAGAGAGGCTTGTCTCTTCCTCATCTTAGGCTCTTGTCCAGAACGCTCTTACCGTGCTAGGGGGGGGGGCGACAGCAAGCAATGAGGGGAGCTCCCAAGGGCGAGTTCAATGGTTCAGCAGTAGATAACCTAGTTTTCGACGGCGTAATTGTCAATGGATAAAAACATCTCTGATTCCAAAGTTCCACGTTCAAGGGTCTGGATCTAAGTTATTGCCCCCTAGTCGGTGTCTTTCCGGGATCGGCAAACCTCATACAATGCAGCACTACGGTTCGTACGATTGTTGGAAGGTATGGATAA